ATACATTTTTTTAAACGTACGGAAACAATTCCTACAAAAATAGGTCACTCTTTGTAGTTACTAGTTGTGACACCATACAACAGCCATTTCAAATCATTACTACTTCTGGCAGCAAAACAAAGTCGGCTACAACTGCAAGTTCTAACAAATAACAATAATCATTTGAACAACTACCAATAAATAGAAAAGTATACATTTAAATGTTTAACATCATCATCTGGTAACAACCATACTACCATAAAAACTCGCTAACAGCATTAGATAATGGACAATCAGTACAGTGAGTACAGCTCACACACGCACTTTTCAATTGTATAATATATAAGGTCACCATCACAAACACTGTGCAACGATATTGTACCTTACCTTCAATTAGTTAAACAGCAGTTTAATGATATTTATTACCAGTCCCGACCAAATTCATTACTCAGAACATCGAGAACCCTGATTCCATCAAGTCCCTGGGTAACAGTACAATAGAGCATGTGGAAGACCGAAGACTTCATCTATCTGGGATCCAGAATCAGAGATAGTGAGAGTGATATCAGGGTTGGGAAATCAAGAGCATGGGGAGCATGCCACACACGCAGAAAAAAAGGTATAAGCTTAGGAAGTCTATCAAGATCAGAGTGTTTACAGCACTTGTCGAGTGTGTGTTTTTGTACGGTTCCGAGACTTTGACGAAAAGGCTGGAGAAGATGGTTGATGGTTGTTATTCGCGAATGTTATGAATGGCCCTTAACATCAATCAATATCGAGACCATGTCAGCAACCACAGCCTGTACAGTGAACTTCTCAAAGTCAGCTCAAAGATCACCCAACGAAGGCCCAGACTTGCAGGTCATGCTCAATTCAGAACAACTATAGAATTTCCAAGACCCTATTATTCTCTGGCCATATATTACAGCACGATCGATTGTTAGATGGCTAAACAACCAACTTTAATCCATACAATTCTAAAACTCTGAGCTAGCACTTTAATCTACAAATACACTTTTTATATTACTCATTGTCGCCACAGGTTGATCATGGACACTAACAGCTTAATTTGAGATAAATGACTTATGAGTTTCTCTAAAGTTAACTGTAAAGTTGTGTAGTCCAGTCATTGATGGACATTTATGGAAATGAACCTGCAAATGTTTAAATACTCACGGTAACAGTCTCCCAGCTCCCTGCTTGTGTAATTAAGCAATGAAAACAATCCAAAATTATCACATATGACATAAGTTGTAATAGCAGAAACTTTCTAACCGTACATTCATCCGCCACTGTTCAAGAACCTATACCACTGTTTAAAATCATGACGTGAGCACTGTACATCCAATCAGCTATTCCTTTAGTTAGGATGATAGCCAAAACTATAAGGATTTTAGAGAACTAGGGTAATAGTCAGGGTGTTAGTCAGCTGTGTATGCCATGCAGGGAGACTGTACCGATTATTTTTCCCCAGTCCATGAAACTCTAACGAATTTAGAAAGTATCTAGATAAGTAGGAGTTTGTTCAATTCCGAGAGCGATTATATTTATATCATAGCGAAATTTCCAACTATAATCCGCATGTGTCAGCCAGTACAGGAGACAAGAAGTCTGGCTACTTTACGACCGTTCCTCTGGGACCATTAGTAGAAGTAGCTTCTATCAGAACAGTGCCGTGGGAACAGAATTCCCGCCAAAATACCCGGTCTACCAAATAGTAATATTGATTGGAGACTGGAGTGTACGGTGTGCGGTGTGTTTTGAATTAGACTTACGGCTTACCTAGTTGTTATCCTAATTGAATTATCATCGGTACATAACATAAATAAACTACTGGTAAGTTTAAATACCAAGTGCAAACGTGTTCAGTCAATCGACCCACTGAACAATGAGTTCTACAAAATTAACTTATCTCCACTGAATCAGTTCCTCGTAATAAAGACTGAGCTAAAAGTAGAAACTGCTAAAACAACTCAGTAGTAAAAATTGATTGTACACCTTCCAGACTCCCAATGCAGTTCTACATATTCGACCAGCTGTGAGGATATTCATAATAACATACATTCGCATAATGTTAAATGTTCGCGTAAACTTAGTACGGCATATTTGATATTTTACCCCATGGCCCATTGATGATTACAATTTACATGAACAACCGGTAACCTTAATATAATATACATTTTTGTAACATATACAGCAGCTTAAAACAGTTCTCCTCGTTACACTAACAATATATAATACACACAATTCACAAAATTGTTTCGTTGTTTATCACAAATTAACAGTAACATCACTAATCAGACGAATGACAAATTACTTAACGGCTGCGGGCTGTTTCGGATCTAATGTCTAATGTCAAACGACAATGAAAAGCGAACAAGATTCTGACATATCACATAGTGTAACCGACTTGTCATTAGTATAGCATGATTAGTGTCCAGTACATGATACATTTATTATTACCCTAACGCGTCGTCCCTCTGCATAGTCCAATCACAACCGTTAACATGTATCACGAGATAATATTTTATCCAACGCGAAAACAATCATGCGCAAATTACTGGCGATTTAATTACTAAATCGCGCGGCTTACATGTAAAATTATTTGCGCGCGGCTTCTTACTTTCCAAATTTAAATTTTATTGGCACACATTTATATTCCGTTTTAAAATTCAAAAATTGTGATGGCAACGGCCCTCGGACAAATCTAGCGAGCGAAGCGAGCGAAGCGAGCGCGCTCCAGAAAGGGGGGCGCTTTTTGAGTTGAGCGGGGGGGCGCCAAAAAGTAACGTTACGCCACTGGTAAAAATAATCATTATCAAGACGTACATTTTTAAAACTTTGCTGCCTAGGAGATATCAACTCTTTTAAGTAAGGAGGAGCTATATTATTTAAACACTTGTAGGCAAGTAGGGCAATCTTAAAATCTATTCTAAATCTAACTGGTAGAAAATGAACTTTCTTAAGTAGTGGAGTAGTGTGTGCCTTTCTTCCTCTCCCGAAAATAAATCTTACAGCAGAATTTTGCACCTTCTGTAAACGACTTAAATCATAAGAGCTCAGTCCAAAATATACGCTATTGCAATAATCAATTCTAGAGAGTACTAGAGCATGAACAAGCTGAATCTTAAGGTTAAAAGACAGTTTTGATGCAATAAACCACAAATTTCTGATCTGAATATTACATGCTTGAACCACTGACGTAATCTGATCACTCATTGAAAGATAACTGTCCAAATACAGCCCAAGACTCTTCACAGTTCCACTAACAACATGTGGCTCTTGATCCTTAACAATCTGTAGAGAGGCTGGAATATTTGTTGAGTCAAATTTAGAGGATATAACGATGACTTCAGTCTTAGAAGAATTCAGTTGAAGGAAATTGTTTGTCATCCATTTCTTGATATCAGACAAACAGTGTTCCATATTGTGCTCTAGCTGTGATGGGTCATCAGAATCAAGAGTGAAATACAGCTGGGTGTCATCAGCATACAAATGAATACAGCACCCATGCATACTTGCAATGTTCTCAAGATCTTTGGTGTACAATATGAATAGCAGGGGGCCAAGGATTGAACCTTGTGGCACACCTATCTCAAGAACAGTTGCTGAGGAAGACGAATCCTTGACTTTGACACAAAATGAACGGTTAGCCAAGTAGGACCTGATCCATGTAAGAGCAATGCCTGTAATGCCATAAGCAGATCTTAGCTTCTTGATTAATCTTGGGTGATTGACAGTATCAAAGGCAGCACTCAAATCTAGAAGTAAAAGAACAACTTTAGTTTTCTTGTCAATAGTTATCAAGATGTCGTTATGGATTCTGGTTGTTGCAGTTTCACAGCTATGAAACTTCCTATAGCCGGACTGAACTTTAGAAAGCAAGTTGTTATCCTCAAGATAACTGGTGAGCTGTATAGATACACACTTCTCAATGATTTTTGACAAGAATGAGAGATTGCTAATAGGCCTGTAGTTAGATAGAGATTCACCGTCAAGGCCACGTTTCTTCAAACTTGGACGAATGAGAGCCTCCTTAAGTTTTATAGGAAACTCACCTTTAACTAATGATTCATTGACTATAAATGAGATCAGAGGAAGGAGTTCTGGGAGACACTTGATGAGAATCTTTGTAGGTATGGGGTCAAGATCACAGAATTTGTTAGACATATTCTTTATGATGCTTACTAGTTCTTCATCAGACACATGACGGAATTGTACTATCTTTGGGCTATTAGAAAGAGGAACAAATTCATCTGAGTTAGGAGAATCTTGGGATTGTTGTTCTAAATAAATGTTGTTGTATATGTTGTCGACCTTTGATTTAAAGAACTGTGCAAAGTTGTTAGCACTCTCAAGATTTGAAGAGCAAGAAGGTGTAGTAGTACTAACTTTTTCTTTATTGAGCAACTTATTAACGATGGAATAAGTCTTTTTAGCATCACCTGCACTATCTTGTAACCTTGTTTTGTAGAAGTGATCTCTTGTGGATACAATGACTGAGGATGCTCTCTCTGATGCTTTCCTGTACAGTCGTTTATAATCTGGGCAATCATGATTCTTTTGATACAGTCTCTCAATCTTTCTTCTCATTGCTTTTGCTTGTTGACAGTGTGTAGACCACCATTCAGCGTTATGATCTTTTCTTGGGATGAAAGTTTTTTCTTTAGCATGCTTGTCCAAAATACTGCTCAACTCAGACTCATAGATATCAACTGCACTATCGAGGTCATTGAAGCAATCAGTGTCACATAGTTTTGACTTAAGAATATCCTCAACAAAAGCATCTAGGTCTATGCAAGCAATGTTTCTGTGACTTAACTATTCATCAACAAATGTTTACCACATTTAAGTTTTACACGAGTGCATATGTCTGGGATTGCATCTCGACTATGCTGCAGGGAAATGTGTTACATAGTTATGTACTGAAAGGACAGTGGTCGTACTGCCACAAGGATATCAGCTATGTAGTTGTTGTTGAAACAAATTTATTGCAGTATTTATTCCTCATTTGAAAACTAGTATAACATAACACAACTGTTTGTGTTTATAGTGCAAGTGACTGGGTATGTCAACACCGTTGCAAGGTTTGAAAGTATATGTAGATGTGAGATCAAGTGATGGGAAAGCCAACTATAGCGCATGCGTTAGCAAGCAGTTGAAGCTACTTGGGGCTGATATCCACTCTACAGTTTCAAATCTCTGTACTCATGTGGTAAGATTACCAAATAGCTCTTAGTGGTATGCAATTCCTTAAACAATTGATGGAGCCTTCCTTACCACTCAATTTCAAAAACTTTTTGCAACAAACTTCATTACAAACATTTTGTCTGTAAGAGTGTGGTTCTACTGATAAGATTAATCGATTTATCTTCACTTCAGGTTTTTAAAGATGGTAAGATAAACACACGGCTACAGTCTAACAAACTTGGGTTGCTGCTTGTCAATGTACTATGGGTTGAAAAGTAAGTTTAGAGACACTATTTGATTTAATACCGTCTTATATAGTGTGCAGAGTGCACTATATAATTTGCACTTGACATTCTTTGGCTTCCTGCCTCCCATGGCCATTTGTATTATGCTTGGGTGAAATTAGCGGCTCTTTTTGTGTTTTGGTGCCTGTTCTGTCTACACTATGTAACATGTTTTGCTTTAATATAGTGAAAAGTTTAGTGTTTTAACTGTGTTACTGTTAAGAGAGTGTTAAACAGCTTTTTTACAACAGTCTGCAGACCCAAAATCAATTCTATATTTACTTTATGTTATTAAAACCATTTGAATCAAGGTTTGTCACAAAATATACCAAACGGCAATTCAGCCAAAGCCCAAAGGTGTGTTGGGTGCATGCCAAACTTTAAATTCCTTCTCTATCTAACATATAATTATGTTAAAATTTTGCAGATGCCGAGAAACAGACAGCAAATGTGATGAATCAAAATTTCCAGTAACTGATGATGCAGTTGACACTCCTATACATCTAAAAAAAAAGGTTAAAAACTAAAAACATTTCATTTCAACATTTCTGTCATGCAATTTTGTAGCATATTGGGATCAAATATGTTCCCAAGAAAATATTCTTGGGAATTTAAAAATTATGTCTCCCTTGCAGACACGCTACAGATCTTTGCAACCTACGTCTAGTATTGCTTGTAAAGGAAAAACTACCAGAGTAAAGAGAACTAAAACAGAAAACCCAGTGGTTGACAGTGCTGTAACAGATAGTCCTCTTGATGCGACTCCTCTCAAACACAAAGGGGCACTTATTAAGAAGGTATGCTAGGTACCGAATAAGGAAAATTCTGCAATTCTCTACCACAATAAAATTGTTACCTTTTTAAAATAGACAACAACTATTATGACATGTTCTATAATTTCAGCTGCAGTGGCCTCCAGACCATTCTGATGTTTGCAGTGAAGCTGAATTAGGTGAGATAATAAAGGAGGATTGAAATTAAATTGTCACTTTGAATTTTTACACCCACCTCAGGTCCATTATTTTTCAAGTTTTAAAACCAATAAGCCATATATTTTTATTATTGTTAAATCATACAATTTTAGCTGCCCACGAGGAAATTGGTGAAGATATGAAGAAAGTCGATAAAAGAAAAGGTGAATAATTAAATGAATGAAGCATTAAATAATTTTAAAACACCTACAAATTGTATATTTACATGATATTGGCACCTAGAAGCAGTTTCTTTTATTGATGGGTTATGTAACTAATATTGCTAGATATTATGATTTTAACAAGTCTGTAATTCCAAACATTATCTCAGGGAGGCGCAAGCTGAAGAGGTCTGCTGTGTTTGATCAGTCAATAAGCAATTCTCAAGACGGACAAATTCATCATGCTCCTAGTTCAACTCATCTCTTTGTTATCTCTAAAAATGTCTCCAAGAAGCAAGAAAGTGATTCCAAGGAGGACAGTCAGTTTTCCTCTTATGATGCATCTCAGCATTTTGAAAGAACTGATTATTCAGTGACAAACATCATCAACCAAATAGATGCAACTATTGAAAAAGTTCCTGCGGATGGTTTTACTGATCTTTATAGTGATTCAGAAGATGATAATATGAATAATCCCAGTAGAAGAACTTGCCAATTGACAAACTCACAGAAAAATGTTATGGACATGACTTTTGAATTTGATGAGGTGGACAGAGATGTTGAGATGAAAAAGCCAAGAAAGCGTAAAAAGCTGCAGAAACATGGAGGTTGTAAAGTTGGGCAGAAGTTAAAAAACGATGAGCTAGATAAACCTGACACGGAGAGATTGCAAGAATCTGCTCATGTAAGTGTGATGAACTCTCCAACAAAAATGCTGACGTTTAACTCCAACTATACTGACAATAGCGATATTGTCACTGATCTAGAGCCAGGAACACAAGAACCTGATAATGACGAGATAACAGCTCTGAAACACATTAAATCTCCCACCTTAGTTCGAACTGAGAGACAGAAACAGCGGAAATCTGAAACAAGTAAAGCTTTAGCTGAGAAAAATTGTAGCAGAACAAAAAAATCAGCTGCACATAAAACTAAAACCACATTGGAAAATGTTTCGCTCACTGAAACCTCTCTCCGGTCCAATAAAATGGGAAATGTGAAACTAGATCAGCACCAAAATGATGATGAGGAACCGATTATAGATGAAAATGTGAGTCACCTCCCAGTTGCTAATAGTCAGCCTAAGGACAGTGAAACAAGTTCAAATGTTGTGCAAGCCCCTGAAATTACGTCTACTTCCGATACCAAGGCAAGAAGAATGAGCAAACGCATCAGGCACTCTTCATCTAGGCTTTCAAATCCTGAATTCATATCATACCAGTCCGTGCAGGAGAAATCACGAAAAACATGTGAAGTACCAAGCACCTTGAATGAGACAGAAGAGATAAGATCTAATGTACCGGGCACCAGTAGTTATTCGACAGACATTTGTGATGACAGATTCAATAGAAGGTCTCCAGAACGCGAACGGGTGTCTACCATGAGAAAGTCGGATGATAGTGTTAATAGTACAAGGAGATCTGGTCGAGTTAGAAAGTCAAATCCTAAATACCTTTCGAATACTTCTGATTCACTAAAATCAAACCCACAATCCACTATGAGTATGTCAAGTATCGATTTATCCCTCTTAGACCAACCATCAGATGAGGTCGGCCATAGCAATCTGGTTGATGTATCTGACGGCGATATATTATGCACCACAAAAAGGTCTGCAAAAAGTGTTTTTACCACTAAAACATCTGATAACAGCGTCAATGATACAAGAAAATCTGGTAGAATGAAAAGGACTAACCCTAAATACGTTCTGAATGCATCCAGCTCAAAAAAGCCTAGCAAAAAATCCACTGTTTCCACTGCTGAGACATCACTGTTGCACGAACAATCTGATAAAGAAAACGCTGCCCACAGCCCCGACCATTCGGTGAGTGAGTACAGCACTACAGAAACTCCTGATGTGAAGAAACCATTGACAAGGCGGGAGAAAAAAGCACCGATTGTTCCGACGACTACAGATACAGAAGACTCAGCTAACGAGGTTCTCAACAAGAGACCTCAATCCAAGAGAAAGAATACTAAGAAGGCAAATACGAGCTGTCATGATGTTTCTATAGTAACGAAAAGAAGATCAGATAGTAATGCAACTCCAGCGAATGTAATCAGGCAAAACTTCTTTCTTTTTGTTTCTTTTAACTTTTGTTCCATAATATTATTATGATATACATATAAAATCGGTCCAAACGAGTGTCTATAAAAAGTATTCATTACTCAACCCATGACTCAATGCCTTCACTGCATAATATCCCGAAGTTAAACAAAGCAAACTCAAGAACATACATTCCCAATTCTTGTAATTATACCCCAATTTTAAAAAATCAATTATTTTATTATCATTCCTCATGATGCTAATTGCCTATTAGTATTAGTTACTGATATTTTTTCTGTACCGGTGCAATATTTGTTACCACCTTCTTTGAGCATGTACAAACAAGATAAATCATATTATTATGTCGGTGCATCAGGTACAACCGTTCTTAGATTCCCTGCCAAAAAACATCGATTGAAAAGTAATATTGATTTGCTTTGCAGTTATAGTGTTCTAACTGGCCAACTGCGGACTGGCAAATTATATTACCATGTTCAGAAAACCAAATATTTTACATCTGCTCTTGCCTCTACCTTATCTCACCATCTCCATAACAGCCTCTAGAAGATGCAATTATAGGATAACAGCTATAAAGAGAATTAGTAGAAAAAATCCAGAATACCTTTCAAATTTCTCCATCTCTGTAAAATTTGGAGCCAACTTCTTTCGTTTGGATGTTCCAATTGTAGACCAACCATCTGATAAACAGGACAATAGTTATTCGATGGAAGTGCCCGACAAAAACGATGTTCCCATATTACTTAAATCTAATCAAACTGACCTCCACTCATCACTCGACCAATCGTTTCGTGAGGAAAACACTGCTTTTGCTCAGTTCATCGACCGGTCAGTTAGTGAGTACAACTCTAAAGAAACTGTCAATGCGACGAAACTACTGGCCCAAATCATCCCGAACAATACAGAGACAGAGGAATCAGCCAACAAATGGTTTTTTAAGAGGTTACCTTCCAAGAGGAGAAAAGCTAGGAGGGAAAAGGCATTATATAGTAGTAGCAAGAGAACAGAACATGGCTGTTTTCTCGAGAATGTAAGATAATTATCCTTGTATAATTTATATCCCACCCAAGGCCCCTAGTCACTTTTGATAAATTAATTGCTAAAATAAATAAATTGCTAAAATAAATTAATTGCTAAAATAGTGAGTGCAAATTTTGAAAAAAAATAATGCTGCAGACTAATAAAAATACCCATCATGTGAAAGTCTACTAGTTAATCATCCGCTTCTGGCTCAAAACCTTATCAGTTCATCATAGTCATATAAGATACTTTTTGATAGTATTTAAATGTTAATTTAAGTTGTTATCATTCCACTATCCTCAGATGAAAGTTATCTGCACGACATGCTGCCACCGAGACGACCAGGCGATGGTCCGGACCACTGCAAAGTTATTCTCCGCTGCAGTATCTGAGTCTGTAGATAAGAACACTTCACATGTTATCATGGGTACACCCAAGAGAACTATTAACTTGTTAAAGGCTATCATTAACGGAGCTTACGTACTTTCTCTTAATTGGGTGAGTTTTAAATTATGTTTCAATTATGGAACTTGAGTCTGTCATACTCACACCGTTGAAATTTTTATATTAATTTTTAAGCTTCTATGTTTATTATTGGCAACCATTTCATAACAATGTAGTTCATGTTAATAATAATGGGAGAGTAGAACATATCAAACTATTCTGGTACTCGTTTTAGGTTACTGACTCTATCTCTAAAGACAGTTGGCAGAAAGAATCCAAATATCAACTCACCTCTGATTTCCCCATATTGAAGGTAAGATCATAATAATATTAAACAACGACAGCAATGTTTAAAAGTTTAATGTTTATTCCATCATTACTAAAATATATTTATTAAAATTGTTGACATATCTGGACATATCGATATACCAGATGAAAGGAGAGCTGAGAAGGAATGCTGCCAGTCTGCTGTTTGCAGACCTGGGTCTGATCTTTGTTGATAAGGAAACTGCTCCTCCTCAGACAGACCTTATAGACCTCATAACGCTCTGTGGTGGCAAGGTGAGATTTGTTGCTGTTAACAATAACATTTTTTTAGTTTTAATAATTGTTATAACGTGCAGAAAACTTCTATTCTTTGCTGAATTGAAAGTCTTTAAACTGAAAACTGTAAATTTTATTTAAAGTTTAACTGAATTCATTAACTTATTTAAACCGAATCCATCATTGCCAATGTCAGAATCTCAGAACCATTTCACTTCAGGTTACCAGATCAAGAACCCGGTCTCGCTACTGTATAGGCGGAGCAGCTGAAGACAAAGAACATATTTCACTGTCAGAACAGTGGGTACTGGACAGTATCACCCAACTCAGACTACAGGACACCAAAAAGTTCCTCCTCTTCCCCTACAGATCTCCTAGTCCTGAGTTTTAAAAGTGAACTGTTTGTGGAGACTACACATTGTGGAGACTGCACATTGTTGAAACTGCACATTGTGGAGACTGCACATTGTGGAGACTGCACATTGTGGAGTCAGCACATTGTAGAGACTGCACATTGCTGAGACTGCACATTGTGGAGACTGCACATTGTGGAGACTGCACATTGTGGAGACTGCACATTGTGGAGACTGCACATTGTGGAGACTGCACATTGTGGAGACTGCACATTGTGGAGACTGCACATTACTGAGACTGCACATTGTGGAGACTGCACATTGTGGAGACTGCACATTGTGGAGACTGCACATTGTGGAGACTGCACATTGTGGAGACTGCACATTGTGGAGACTGCACATTGTGGAGACTGCACATTGTGGAGACTGCACATTGTGGAGACTGCACATTGTGGAGACTGCACATTGTGGAGACTGCACATTGTGGAGACTACACATCGTGGGGCGGTTCGATTATTGTTTGAAAATTTGATAGGTTGTTTTAATTGCTGCTGTTTTAATTTTCCATGTTCGCATAATATGGATAGATATCTATAATATTACAAATATGATCACCAAACTGCAAAGTAGAGCTGAAAATGAATTGAATATTTGAAATACGAGTGAAATTTGTAGATTTGTAGCAGTATAAAACTTGATTGATCGTGAGGTCTATCAAATGTTTTTTTATTCAATAAACTTAGAATTCCTATGTAAACTAAGATTATAATAATACGTACTTGATTTTAATTAATTATTAAATGCAGTTGTCATTATCATTATATTATCCCAACCTGCATTCATAGAATATTTGCCAGCTTTATTAATATAATATCAATAAATAACATGTTCTAGGATATTGTACGGAGATGTTTTAGCGGTTATACAAATACTTTTGTCTGATTAACTTCTAAATAATTAATATCACACAAATTCTGGTAACAAAGACTGCTACCTATTTGGATCTGATCTGAAATATAACTTATTTGTTAGATATTATGAGATATCTCATATAATTCTCATACCTGACAGATTTCAAGATTATCTGTATACAATAGTTCATTATTAGCCGTTAACGACTGCCTCCTTTAATCATGATATCAACTAACTTGTACTGAGTTTTGTTAATTAATAGTTAGCCGTTCTAAGATGTCTGAAGCTACCAAAAGGAAGATAGTGACGCAGGAGGTGGTACATGGAGACGTTACACTCTGCAAAAATCAGAACATCGTCAAGGTTAGATTTCATAAGTCAAACTGTAGTTGTAGACTTGTTAAACAGATAAATAAAAGAAAACATACTTTGATAGAATATGACTATAAGTTATAACCTAGGCCTAGGATTATAATAGTGCTTGATTCTGGACATGATAAACTCCACTATGAAATTATCTGTTAAAGTATTACGTAGAAGTAACGAACGTTTTAACTATTAAAATTATTCTTGCTTGAATCCAAATTCCAATTCCTCCAAATTCCACATACACGAACAGGTGTTGGAAAGTAAAGGTAACAACCTGTTCTTAATAGAGGAGGAGACAGGTCACGTGACATTGTGTAGTATGCCTCCAAAGTTCAGGAAGAATGTCTGGATCAAGCGAGGTAACGATATTCTGTATTATTATTTTGCCCTCTTTTAAACGTGGATAACTAAAAAATTAGATCCGGTTGTTCTGTAGTACTACGCAATTATTTTAGTTTAATTACAAAATGTAAGTATGATATATATATATTGTATGAATTACATTAGCACTTATGATTTGTTACTAACCTGAGCTTGCTCCCTACAGGAGACTACCTGATAGTGGAGAGTATAAAGGAAGGTAAGAAGGTTACGTGCGAGATGGTCAACATCCTCTACCCACCCCAGATAAAGGACCTCAAATCAGATAATGTGTGGCCCCAACACTTCCACTCCGAGACCGAGGATGTTAATAAAGATGTTAATAAAGATGTTAAAGATAGCAACAAGGATTTCACGGAGTACAGGAACAGTAAGCCGGCTATCAGTGACTCAGGGTCGGATTCAGATGACAGTTTAGAGGGGAATGTAAATCAGTTGAGCAGACCTGTGGTGTATCTCTCATCTGACTCCGAGTCGGAAGATGATTGAGCTTTTGCAGTTCCGTGTGTGAGACTTTCACATTTTTACTGTTCGGGTCGTTGAATGTAATTTGGGAAATGAAGCTGATTGGTGGATTGGAAATTGTGGAAACTAAGTCGTTATTCGTACTAAGCTTTACTTTTAACTAACTTATTGACTAAGTCTACGTTCTCTTGTGAATCGATTTGATTATAGTTTATTTTCGAGTTTTAACACATTATGATGTACATTGTACATCATTCAAATGCTGCCGTCAGTTACCAGGGTCACCTATTGAAAATTCAAAGATTTTTTTTTAAAGTTCTAGAAGGAATGTTCCAATCCAGTAAAATATAAATTTACTGAAGACAAATTCCCAGTAAAATGCAAGTTTAAATAATCACAATAATAAAACTACAACCCCACTTCTACCCGTTAGCCTAGAACAATGGACGAGGACAACATGTTCATGAGGATGTCAGTGAGCACACCGCTGGTGGGGTGGAGTGTGGTGTTGTTCCTGGTGGTGGGGTACTACGTTCCTCTTACTATGGTTACTACTGGGGTTACCTTACAGGACCTGGTTATTAGGGATACCATGCAGAGGTGAACAACTCTTTTTTTTTTTTTTTTTGTGTCGCGACACCCACTGACCACCGTCATATAGAGGTGGCGACCCTCCACTTGGGGAGCGTCCTACTGGAGTCCATCCATCTGCATTAAGCCCCTTCCCTGAGGGCCACTGGATGATAATACCTGTTAGGGTATCAGCCGAATCGGGGTTGCACCTCCGGAGATTTACTAACTTGGTCCCTAGGGAAGTTCTGGGTGGTTACCCTGGCCGCTCAACACCATGAAAGGATGACGCCCGTGCTGAGTAATGCTGGCTCTTGAGACTTGGTGAGACGTAGGTTGCTAATGGCGGTTGCGGGTGTGCTAACGTTTGGATAGTGTGTTAGGTGGTGGGGAACTGTATTGATACTATCTGCCTTTTGGTGGCTGAGCTAAAACGTGAGGGTTTGTGACGTCACGTGAGGTGGACTCTCACTCAGTCCAGAAATAACAGGAGCAGGGATCATATTGTACGACACAGGAAATACAGGTTCTGATCCAGGGTCCATTTATGCCATTACACACGTATTACACACGTTTGGTGTGGTAACTACTATACATTACTCCCATAACACTCCCACAATGTACTTGTAGCGATACTCCCATTGCACTCCCACATTGTAGCGATACTCCCATTACACTCCCACAATGTAGCGATACTCCCATAACACTCCCACATTGTAGCGATACTCCCATTACACTCCCACAATGTAGCGATACTCCCATTACACTCCCATATTGTAGCGATACTCCCATTACACTCCCACATTGTAGCGATACTCCCATTACACTCCCATATTGTAGCGATACTCCCATTATACTCCCACATTGTAGCGATACTCCCATTACACTCCCACATTGTAGCGATACTCCCATTACACTCCCATATTGTAGCGATACTCCCATTACACTCCCATATTGTAGCGATACTCCCATTACACTCCCACATTGTAGCGATACTCCCATTACACTCCCATATTGTAGCGATACTCCCATTACACTCCCACATTGTAGCGATACTCCCATTACACTCCCATATTGTAGCGATACTCCCATTACACTCCCACATTGTAGCGATACTCCCATTACACTCTCCGAGGGGGCGGCAAATTTGCAAACAGGGGGGCAGCAAAACCCAGCGGGCTAATTAATGTAGAGACTGGCAAGCAGAACGGCTATATTAACAAGTGGTTTAATCCGGTTTGGCTTGTCATGATCGAAATACCGCACCGCGGCGTGAGGTTAGTGTCACGTGGGAGTCAGGTGAGTGTTATTGGTACTAGCGGGAAGCAGTTCTGTGCGCGCACCCGCTGTTTATGACTGCGCGCCAATCTTTGATTATATCTGGGGCGTTAGTCGATCGTTGCCGGTAGAGTCCTGGTACATAAGGGGGCCCACTAGCGCTGTCGGCTCTATAGTAACCCGAGGAGCTGGCGTATTCAAGGCCCACCATGGCTTTTGCACAACAACTCGTTATTACTGTTGTTTGTTTAGTATAATAGTAGATTTAAGATAATCACTAATAATCAGCTTTGTTATTTTAGAAAATCTTGCGTTTAATATGTTTTCATATTGTGCTCGAATAATATAAAATAAAGAGATAATTTTAAAGTTTAATCACGCCTGATTGATATTTCCCAACAAAAACCTCCCAGGTATGTGATAAGAAGTGTGTTGGTAGTGTACCTCCCTATATTACTCCTCTCAACCCTATCCTACCACACCCATACCTCCTCCTCCAACTCTCGTACAGTCTCCATCATAAGAACTGTTCGCACTGTCATTTCAGTGATGGAGAAACTTTCGTTAGCACTTTACTCTGTGGTGACGCCAAACGAGAACAAACCAATACACGATAGTGCTGTTTATTATCTAGTGTTATTCCATACCCTTAACTCTATCATAACAACACTGTTAGTATACACTTCTGTCCCTTCTAGCAGATTCAAGAAAGTCAGCATTGCACTGAAACTCTGTCTTATTCTCATATCTCTGGTCCTGAGGAGTGTCTCCCTGCCATCTTTCTGCAGTGACACCTCCACTGACTGTATCTTACATCATGTCTTCTTCATGCCTCTGTTCGCTGTGTTTCACGGGTCTGCGGTGCTGGACATTGGGGACAGGAGCGTGGTTGTGAGAAACACCAGTGTTAAGAAGTATGAGCGGAATGTGTTGCAGGCTAAACATGAGCGTATTGAGAGGGGTAGGGTTCCTGATGTAGAAAGTGTGGAGTTTTAGGATTGTAAAGTGACTTGTCTTGTTGTGATGGTTTGTTTGAGTCCTTACCTGGTCACTGGTCAGTCAGTGACCAGAGTGTAGCTTGTAGTGTAGCTTATGTATAATAGTGTAGTCTATATAGTATAATATATATAGTGTAACTTATATAAATTGCCTTTTTTATACAGTATACGGGGTAGAATTTATTATGCTAACGTTTCATTGAGTATCATATTTGAAGTATTATGCTGAGAATCTGTTTTACCTTGAAGTATTCCGAGGTCAGGAATCTTACTATATATAAAGCGAGACGATATATATATATCCGTACCATTTTACTGACACCACGACATCAACTTTAACACGACTTTCCGCAAAAACCGTAAAAGATATACAACTTAAACTTTTTTGACTGGTTCAAATGCTCTAATGGTCTTCAAATCAGCATGAAAAAATAAAAAATTGACCAAGGAATAATAATTTTAGTGCCCAAAATGTGGACCCCCAAGTGGTGTCAAAAACGCGAATTAAATAGGTAATAATTATTTTAGTCTCTTGAGTCTTGACACCACTTTAGGCTGAGACGGGTTCCTGCTAGTAATTATAATCAATGAACTAGTTTTTTCTTAAAGATGCAGATCATGGTCAACCTTCACTTTATCAAAGTAAGTAAAGTCTTTTTTTCTATAACAGAGAGGAGGGGACTGGTCACGGTTGCTCGGTAAAAACCGTAAGAATTTCAAATAAAGTGTTTTGTTTTCGTTACATAGGGAGTAGGGACTCAAACTTACGTATGAATTTTTGATTTTTGTTAGAATTTGATACTTTCTATTAATTGGTTATTAACTTAGAATTTGATACTTTCTATTAATTGGTTATCAACTTTTGATTTTAGATATTTCTGCGTTTGTATTGTCATGTCAAGATATTATCTTGTTATAGGATGTCCAATGTCCAGTATTATATAAAATGTTTTGAAATATTTATAAGCATTTGCTGAAAGTTAAGTAACATTATGAGGTAATGATCATTTTATTTGTCATAATGTTACTTATAGTTATCTTAGTATGGTTTATAATAAAAGATGTTTCAATTTTGTCTTTGTCTTTTTAAAGTTCTCCTTATGTTCACATTTCTCATTTGCTCATTCACTCACAGTCAGCCGCTCTGATATGGTTAAACCACTTTCCTTGTGTTGTTGGTTGATCATATGAGTGGGATATAAATACCTAATTTCATTTCATAATTTAATATCTGAATACGGATATTACATATATAATATATGTAATATCCGTATTCAGATATTAAATTATATATATAATCACTAACTATCACCCTTTCACAACTGATAGAACAAACACGATTAATTCTGTGTTATTAAGACGGTAAATTCAAGTATTTCATCTATAACATGTATAAACCTTTGCGGTGTATTGAAATTATATTGTTTACTTTAGATAGTTAAAAATTCGGTGAAACAATCTAAATAATTTGCAATTAGGACAAACTTTTTGAACCTTTTAAACTATATAAGATCACCTGAATTATACAGTATTATTGTAATATCACCATTTCCACTCTCCACTAGGATCATGTCAAGTAGACTGGTGTACTTCGGTAACGTTATCTCCAGAACAGACGCCCTAGCAAAAGCCAATGTTATCAGGGAACCTAAGTGGCTGAAAGCATGTCTGAAGTTCCCTCCTCTGTCAGAACCAGTGAACCCAGTGTTACCTGATTGGGAGAACACGGAACAGACTAAGACTCACCGTGTAGGAAACATGACCAGACTCGACGGACACAGGTATTTGTTGATCTTGAAATATTTCAACATCCTTTTGTACTTTTTCGCTTATGGTGAAACTGTCCAGGTTTCAAATTCCACGAGGAGTATAAGTTAAGCGATTATTTACTTATTAAACGTTTACCCCAGGTTCGACCCAAAGAAGCCTACAGAGTTCCCACGTGACCAGCAACTAACCCACCCTGACCAGCCTTACCATATCTACTATTCTAGAGACGAGCTAAGGAGACAGTTCTACTCAACACACCCTAACTATCCAGTACACTTGTCATACTCAGAACACTCCGAGAGTGCATGTGAGAAGTGGATAAAAGAGAGAAAGGTGGCAGACAGCCGAGAGTTGGCAGGCAGCCAAGACTCGCTTTATTCTTTTGAGTTTGAGTCGCTTGATAAAAACATTTGGGAAGAGTTTGAGGATATTAGATACAATTGTGATATATCTGACATAGATATCCATGACACTTAAATTTTGATAAGTGTATACATTTATAAATAATTTATTATTGATCAAAATATTGTTAATGTCTAAACTTGATAAGAGTTTTTTGTGTAGCTACAGTTCCATCTGTTCTTACTAAGGAGTAAGGAAGGTCCATATTTTTAGTATATAATGTGGCTAGGGGCGACGAGTTATTATTACAGTCCCGTTTGATATGTCAACATTTCATGGGCGAAGAAATTTTCTGAGCGGTATAAATATTGAAGAACTGGTTGGATATTTTTAACTATGATGTTCATAATAGTATAATCAGCGTTAGGCTGGGACAGTCAAAAAGATGCGAAACTTCAAGTGTATGTGAATAGTCCGGGTGAATGACACCTCAGGTATTCCTGTAGTGTCATCGTCCGATTAGTCGATTAAACCTCTTTAATTCAACACAATGAGAATATATATAATATATTATTAAGAAATGTGGTCCCTGATTTCAACTAGATTATCTAACCTTTCATTTTTCTCTGTGCTGTTGGTAAGTTTCCAAGTGTTGTTAAATTTTATACATTTAACCGATTAAAGTATGAAAATCAGTAAAACTCGACCTTTAGAAGTATATATAAATACATTTGCTAGCTGTGTTTCAAATATAAACGTTTCATTGAATAGTGAGGAGTGGAAATACTAAGTATCATAATTGATTTTATCTTGAACACTTTAATGATAATTAATGATCATACAGGTTGACCCAAAATTACTGCATCGTATAGATTTGTACGGCCCGAATGAACAGCAATTGTATACTCAAAACTTCAAGCTTACATAAATTGCAGCTCATCGACTTGAGATATCACAGGTGACAAGAAAATGAAATGGTATGTGTCCAGTTCTGACGATCTTCACAATGATATAGAACTGCCTCCTAACGAAGTGGTAGCGTTAGGTAAATATTAAATTATACAACATAATAATATTTGGTACAAGAGAAACGCCATTTTCTGACGTGAGGAGAGTTAGGACTCCTCCAACTACATACATTAAATCAATTCCTTCTGTAACGTCCTCAATAAATGTAATAGATTTGTAGTGTTGTGATTAGTTTAAAACTATCAATATTATAGAAATAAAATTTTAAGTAATCTTAATTAAACGGTTTATCGCTATTTCATATAATTACGATAAACTGCAAATAAAAACATATGCTCCCAATATTGCGGGGAATATAGCGATATCATTTAAATATACAAATATAACACAATAGCTAACATTTATCAGGTAGAACTACTGATACGGGTATATCAGATAAGAGTGTGTCTAAACTGCACACATTACTCAAATACCAACCTTCCAAACAAATCGTTCTGTGCAAGCAACTGGGAAAACATCCAGCTGTTATCAACGGTTAGTGAGGTTTATACGTTCGTGAATTTAAGGTTTACTCAACCGGCTTTATCGATTGTTTTTAATAAAAGTGAAACGTATTTAAATATAAACAATGTAAAATATTAATGTGACCAATTTAGAAGATGAGAGCTCATATTATGATTGAATCCTAACATTTAAGATAACAAATAAAGAAATAAATTAACAAGTTTTGTCAGTTTACATTAAACAATAATAGTAATACAAGGTACAGTAAACAATATTTTCAATTCGATTAAAATCAACTATTTGAACATTCCATCTGCATTACTGCATATGGTCAAGTTCGGAGACAACCTGTACATAAAATCAGTCACTAATTACACTCATCTCACTGCCATAAACGGTAAAATTAATTATAATTCCTCTGACAGTCCAAGGGGTACAGGCTCTTCAGATATTATACTCCTAACCTTTCTATAATGATATCTGGGTTCAAAATTTAAATAACTCAACCTTGGTGGAGACAGTGGCCACCTGAAAATTACAAAAATAAATGAACTGTAAATCACTTATGAAAAAAATATTTACTCCAAATTTCACAATTTAACGTTACGTAAGACAGGTGGGTACTCAAAAAGTGCCGGTTGAGCAGGTTTGTCTGCTCAACACAGGTGGAGCAGTTCACTGACTACATGAGCTAATATAAGTGACTAGAACTAACCCTCTCATGCTTTTTAATTGCTCCAAAGTCCTAATATTTAATATTATGGGTTATACCAATCATATTTCATAGAATAGGATCCTCAGAATCGGCTCAACCGAGGTGGAGACAGCATAACATGCAGTTCAAAATCTGTTATTCTGTAGTTTAGGAGCTGTAGAGTGACTGTGGCAGTCCATTTGCAATACCAATGATTCTAAATCATCTACCAACTCATATTACAAGGCATCCTTGCTGAAAAGTACACTCAACATAGGTGGAGACTCAAATTTGGCAAATTTGGGCGTAAATTTGACCTCAGAAGTCAAGGTTCTCCACCGCAGTTGAGTGGTTGATGGCTAGTTTGATGAGTTGTATACATGCTAAAGTGTCACCCAATGTTATTTCTTCCAGAAATCAACTGCGAAAGCTCAACTCAACCCGGTGGGGCCAGTTTTAATGCATTTTTTAATGTTTTAATGTTTAATCAACAATTTCTCCACCTTGTTGAATACCTTTTCACAACTTTTCATTTGCTAGAACACTTTGCTTTAAGACAGAAGGGGTAACAGTTTTATGATCCCCTACAGTAGCAGTTAACAGAGCAGATTAGAATTAGTGATAAAACCAATGAATTTAGGCATGTTTGACAGGCTTTTTACTGTTTCTTAATGAAAGATCTCCACCCTGTTGAGCGTCAATGGAAAAAACAATATTTAACGGGAAGTAGAAAAGGCCGAGACGCAACTCTCTAGCTAACCTAGAACTCTCTAAACCTTTCTCCACCCCCGATTGAGCAGCTTTGAAAAGTGCATTTAATTTCTCCACCTCGGTTGAGCACTTAAATAAAATATTGACAAAACCATCAGATTGCAAATTTGATGTAGTTTGTGTTACCAATAACGTTTTCCACCTTAATCAAAAGTTTCTTCAACCAGAGCCAGTCTCCACCTTAAATCTCCACCTTTTAAGGGTTTGTTTAATACCACCTGTATCTGCTCAACCGTTCAACCTTTTAATTTTTTTTTTACTCAGAAAAAGTCCTGAAAAATGTCTTGTCAGCCATATAATCAGGGAGTTTCATTCTGTGTTGAGCTGGCTCCACCACACACTTCTAAAAAAGTAAAAAATGTACAGGTTGTCTCCGAACTTGACCATATAAGGTCATTATCTTTAAATGATTAATCTTATGATTATTAATTAAGCAGTGATACACTGATAGTTTAATGTATAATACCTAGGTACCTATGAACTGTCAGTTATGAATCTGTTCACAGAAAATTGTCTTTTATTGAATTATTGCAGGCATGGTCTCGTACCTTTTTTCCACCGTCATGTTACTCAACCTGATCTGCGACCATCGCATTTCTTGATTCTTTTATCTCCCTCTCCTCTGTTTCTTACGGATGTTATTTCCTTACCGTTCATTGGTCCTTTTCCTTTTTCTAGATTAGCACGTTCGAGCTTTGGAGCAACTGAAGATCACCCCTTTAATTGAGTGTACTCTCAGGGAATGCTCTTTGTTCTGGAGACATCCACCATCGCTGTTGGAGGGTCAGCTCTGATGTCAGCTGTCCCTAGCCCCACAGAGCAGACAGAGGGTTTCCTCAGTGAGAGACTGTGTGAGGGAGTACTCTTCAAACTGTCCTGATTGGTCGGGAAGGTGGAGACAGTCGCACAGGAGCGGGTGGAGTTGTTGTTGTTCATCGCGTTCCTGTTTGCTAACACCACGTTGTTTGTTGTATCCGTGTGGCTGTGTGCGTTGTAGGTCATTACCGGTTGTTTCTTGAAGATGTTAAGAGCCTCTGCTCTGAACCTGCGCATGCGCAGCACGTAAATCAAGGGGTTCACCAGGGAGTTGAGGGCCACTGTGATGATGTAGGTCAGCAACCAGATGTACTTCGCCAGGAACACGTTCTGGATGTCTTTTTGCTTACCGTACACCGTTACAATGAACCTGACATAGTTGAGAAAAACGGGCAGGTTGAAGATGATGTAGACGGTGGTGACTATGATGATGGTCACAGTTGCTTTCTTCTTCATCTTGGTGACGGCGGAGGAGCTCCGGGAGACTCTTACCGAGAACAGGATGACGACAGTGGAGGTGATGCAGCTGACTGCGATGGGGATTATGGGGAATGCTAGCTGGAGTGTGGAGAACACTTCGTTTGACACCTGAACAGAAGGTGTGAGGTTAGGGATGGTTAATTATATCTGGTTAATAACATGCTAAAGGAAAAATTAATATTATGTCAGTATTACAATGGTATAATTTAACTAGCTGAGTCAATATATAATGCAAATAATCTTCTACAACTATTGATATGTTGAATTTTTAAGAAGAGTTGCTGCTTATAATTAGCTTGGTTACTAACCCGGTACTGGGTATGGGCGATGTTGTTCCAGCAGTAGCCAGCAGCTTCATGGTACTGGTAACTACTGTATCCTAGGAAGACGCCCATCAGCTGTCTTGTCATGAGGAACAACATGTAACCCGCTATCAACCCCACTACAATCTGAGTGTTTTGCTGTGTTAGAGATTGGAATGTGTGATTAATTAAAGATAAACAACTTTAGTGATGATTTGTACTATACATATATAATTGAGTCTATTTGGAAACATTTTGTTTTATGAAATTGTATTTCTGGTGACGAAGCGAGTTGTGGCTATGAAACAAACAGTTAAAATATCGATCGACTCACTTTTTTCCTGATGTAAACAAGGGGCTTGAGAAGAGCGAAAGTGCGAAGAAAGGAAAGGGCAAAGACAAGGAATACTGAGTAGTAAGGGATCAACTCCCAGGTAAAACCCCAGAAGGAACAGAAGTACTTGCTGGAGAACATCATACTGTTCCTGTATCCTGCTAAGGATAATCCTGAAAGAGAACAGTGTTCCAACTTTCAAAAGAGGTTGAGAATCAACTATGTTTTAAGTCTAATCCTCCAATGGTAGGATAATGAATTAATAGAGGATCGCACTTACCGACAGGGAAGACAAGGATACAGGTGAGGATGTCAACAGAGGAGATGACAATGTAGATACAAGTGGGAATATCCCTGGTCTTTCTCAGGAAATAGTAGAGGGAGATACTGTTTGATGGGATTCCCACCATGCAACACAGGAAACATATTACAGCGAACGTCAGATCTGTGTAATCCATTGCTAGTGAGAGGGTCTAGTAATCACGAGAGGGGATTATTGTTTAAAAGTTACAAGTAACTACTATATTATATACTGGGTGTTTCAAAACGTCTTGCTTGGATTCATTTTTTAAATAACTTTGTATCCATTTGTTTGTTTAAACTTGATTGTAAAATTCTATCAGACAAATGGATACAAAGTTATTGACAAAGTAAATCCTAAAAAGACTTTTTAAACACACTGTAATTAATGCCAGAACCAGAAAGGTTATTCAAAAAAGTTTGCATAGATCTAGTCAAGTTATACCGGACCAATTTAATTTCAAATTTGAAATAAAAATGACGAACATTGCTCCGCGAGAGGATTTTGAAGTAGCATTGTAATTGACGAAGATTGTCTTTGATAAAATATGCCGAACTGAATGCAATATGATAAATTGTAATGCTACTCCCTTCAAACTAACAAAATTGAACATAACATGGATCAACAAATTCAACATCAAGTACATAGTGACGACACGGCATGGCTGGAAGAGGATTGTAAAGGAAAGTGAATATTTTTTGGTTTCACTGAAGTACCGGACTTAATTCTACTGTTGGTGAACTTAGCAAGCTTTCCGTCCTTACAAAACGACGTGAAGATATACTTATGTCAGTACTCAGTATTTGTGGTACTTCACCGCTGATGTTAAGATTTGATTAATCAGTGTTCTGTGCCCCATAAGAATGATTAAAGGTGAATAAACACGACTTTACACGGTTAGAAAATATTGTTACGATAATATAATAACAATACGTATGTACGTTATAAAAATGCAACTTGGCAAATCAATGTATGCCGTCAAAATCAAATAATAAATATAAGTAAGTTTAGCCGATAAAAGACCATGAAAAATTACAGAACTGGCATGCAGTGGATCACCGCCAAAAAACAACTCAACTTAATATAATACATTTTATATTATTCTGGCAGGCATACGATATAGACATATTCACGATAGAATACTTTTATAATTACAAATTGTAAGGAAAACTGTGAGTAAAGAAGTGGGCATTGCCATTGGTGGAAGATCCGTCGGCTTCCAATGATAAAGCGGTAGAAAAAGTTATAAAGCTGATAAAATAAGACTAAAAATGAAATCTGATTATAATTATAGCCCCGTTAAACTTGGAATACTTTATCGTCGTCTGATAG